GTGATGAGCACAGGCAGGAATCCCCCGTTAATTTTGCAATGTAGGCCGAACTCTGCAGGTAACATATCGCTCCAGCAAACCTCAGAAGGCCATGCTGGCAGGTATAACTCAGGCATTTCAATTCATCAAGATGAACAAAAGACCCTGGCATGCTCTTCACATCTCTCCCCACTCCTCATGGACTGTGCATTTCTGTAGACACCAGCATGAATTCTCATACCATACCTGGCTGATGTCAATGGGCTTTGCTCTATTGCCAGTTTGCACCAAGAGTTTGTAAGCCAGAACAGCATCTTCAGATCCATTTTTATAATTGTTGTAAGTGATTTTCCCGGTTTCCCAGTCGCTGTCAAATGCATCCTGAAGCCCTGAAGAGTTAAGACAGGCATAAAGAACGTTAATCATTCAGTTTAAAACAATTATCAGCACACCAAGCAGGAAAACAAAACAAAACAAAACAGGAATAATGGTTCTTTTTATTATAAATGGAGACCTTCCACAGCTAAAGCGGGGAGAAAACTATGTATCGTCCATTTGGTTTCTCACCTCACAGTCAGCAACAGCGGAAGATAAAATTAACAGTTGTATGTCAGAAAGGTGGGTGAAGCAAGGGAGGAGAGTCAAGGCTCTTTCCATGCTATGCTGGCCAGTAAAGGAGAGCTGGTAGAAGACATGTGCACTGGAATAAAGAGCTTTCTCTCACAGAAAAGGAGAGGGCAGTGATGGGATTAGGACTCTTGGGTCTCCTGTCCTTCTCTGAGTCTTTCCTGAGTTGGCATAGCCACATCACTGCCTCTGGACAGGGCGGGACATGAAGAGGAACCTAGCACTCTGTTTGCAGACTTATGCAAGGAAACGTCTAAGAAGTCTAAAAGAACAAAGAACAGAGTGCTTTTCCTCAAAAACTACAACTCTAGAAGGATGATAGTGAAAATCCACAGCCATATTCGTATTTATCACCTCTTTCATCCCTAAACCAAAACCAAAGTCTTGCCCTGACACAGGAGGTGCAAAACAAATGGGGTGGAGGAGCTCAGCCCCAACTCAACTGCACTGCCTGCTGTGGACTGCAAAGCAGGGAGAGGCTCAGCTCACGACCCACGCTCTCTAGAGAGGCTCTCCCCACGCACCGAGCCCCGAGCCTCCTCCCACTGCAGTGAGGGCACGTGCCACCCTCGCAGGCTGTCTTGGCTGCCGCGGAGCACCAGGGCAAGCGCGCCAGGGCTGCACCATCCACCCCACTATGAGCGGAGGGAAAAGCACGTGCCGGCCTCCAGCTTCAAACGGCAACTCAGCGGCTTCTCGAGCACAGTGTGAGTGAACACGATTTTGTCAATTTGTTCCATCTGTTCAACTTGTGCAGCTAATACAAGTCGTGGGATCTGCTGCCAGCACGTGTAAAGATCACAGCCAACACCTATTCACTCTCAACTGTTATTTTCCTCTTTGCCACCCTTTGAGGGGGAGGGAATACCTCACAGCGCAAATTTGGATCAGATTTAGCACAGGAAGCCGCAGCGTGGCACAAGGAGGCTCTGTGCGAGCAGATGACAAACCGCATGTCCAGGGAAAGAAAGGAAAAGGCTGGGGGGTGCTGGTGCTGGAAATCACTGACCCACCTCACAGCTGCACTCAGGAGCTATAATGAAAACCATAGCTGCAGATCTGAGAGGCTAGCTACAGCTGTGAGGAGATAAGAGTATGGAAAGAGAAAGCACAGCCTGGCTGACACTGCCTCATGGCCTGAGCTCTCGATCCCGCTTTTGAGCTTCTCCACAGCTCTGGAAAACTACCCCCGTGTCACCCTAACCCGCACGGGCAGCGGCGGGTTCGGAGCAGCCACCGGCACCTGCCCGCATCGAGGATGGCCTCGCGCTAGATCGTCTGAGCCCCTCCAAGGCTGTGGGGAAAACAACTGCGGAAACACCCATCTGTCCTTCCTGAAGACAGCTTTATTCCATTTCAGCCTCTTCAGAAACGGCTACGTGACAGCATTTCTGCTATGCGCGGCAGCCACGTAAAGAGCCACTTTGGGAGTCAGGAACAAGAACATGGGAAAGGAGGAGAGACCACCAAAGAGTAGCTCGGCGCCCAAGCCCCGCTGAGGGCAGCTCTCTCCAGCGAGAGAGCCTGCACGTGCCCCATCAGACCACGCATGGGGCAGAGCCTTCCTCCAACGCCCACCCTCCTGGCACAGGACTAAGCACACGCAATTCCCACCATGCGCAGGTTGAATTAACAATTCGTCTTTGCAAACTATGCTAAAAAAATAGCATGTGCATCACATATTCCTATGGTGGGAAGTTAACTCAGATCTTTCGTTGCCCCTAACCCGGTATTGGGTTGTCTTAAGGCATTTCTCAACTGGCTTAACGACTTTGTACTTCAGGTCGTTTTATTACTGAGCATGGACACCGCTGAACCTAAAGATGGGAAGCAATACCACGAAATCAAAAAACCATCATCAGTTGTGCTTAAATTCCAGAGGATTTCAACATTTCAGTAATAAAAATTTCCCGTAACACTTGGAAATTAATAGCTATTTCAAAGCAGAGATTTCAAAGTGAACGCTATTTTTATTATAAGTTGTTCACATCAATTATTTTAATGCATTTAATGTACTTGAAAAATATCTGAGATTAATGTTTCTGGGCAAAGAGATAAAAGTAACTTACCCATCCCTGCCTGCATGAAAGTTCTACAAATTAAGGCATTTTTAAAAAATGTTATGTCATTTTTTTTTTTCAAATCAACACTGACTTTTGCTTCACACTCCAGAAGAAAATGAAATCCTCCAAAGTTATGTGGGATGCTGGAATGGGAGTGAAGAAGGAATTCCTTCTGACCCATGCGAACAGCTGGCACCATGAAACTTGAGATAAGATTACGCTTTGCAAAACCAAGCCTAATTACAAGCCACTGGGGAATTGAAGCTACCTCACTTACATTCAGTCACTTACAAAAATAATGTTACTATTTTCCAGTTCAAATGAATGATTAGTGTAAATTCTATTGCTTTTTCAGATATGGAAAAATGTAGCATTAATTGTCACAGCAAGGCAAAAGACAAGGTGATCTCTGAAAACACAGGTGTGTTAGTCTAAAGGCATTCCCCTGCAAGTGAACCAGGGGACATGCGGGGCTGTGAGTTCACTGCCAGGGTAAGAAACGCCTTTGTTCACACGCTGCCGCTTCCTTCCAGCCCATCGTGTATTCTGCCAGAAAAATGCAGGGGTGTCAGAAGGCCACCTTGAGCCATTAATCTCTAGCACTGAATTCCCAGTGATGTTGGTGGGAATAGCCATGAAGTTCAAACAAAGTTACCCCTCCTTTGATTACCCTGCTGTCTCACTCCAGCATGGAAACCCATTCCTATGCTTGTCCAGGATCTTCCCTGGATGCAACCTAAAACTGTCTCTTGCTCATAAAATCTATTTTCATTTTACCTCCAACCTACGAGAGGGAGAGCAAACACTGCTAGGAGGCTCTACGACCTCGAAAACATGAAGGATCTAAGGAGCCTGATCTCCATCATCTCAGTGGGAGAAATCCTCAGCAGTGCAGGTCCAAGGATCCTCTTCCTGCCCTCTTCACTGCAAACTCACGGCTGAGGGTCAGCTCTCACATGCGGGGATACTCAGCTCATGCTCACAATTAAGGCACCAACTTGCATATTTCTATCTTCCTTACAGATCTGCACCAGCAGGCAGTGGGTCTGGCCAAATGCCCCATGGTCTGCTGCATTTGTTCCCATTGTTCTGGCCTAAACATGCCCCCCAAAAAGGAAGAAAAATAAACAAGACACTAAACTACAAGAGAATTTGGAAACATTCTGCAGGATGCATGAAGATGCTTGCTTAGAAATCTAGGAAGTGTAGTAAAGTTTCCATCAAGTAAAACATCTAAGGTATGCTGTATTTTCCTCCTGCCTCCTTCTCTTCCAATTAAATGTACTTATGTAAGCAAAGTATCTTAAGAAAAACTTCCATTAAGAAGATTGTAGTGAATGTGTCCAATGTATTTGAAAACCATAAAAACCTAATAACTGAAATCCTTCTCTGCTTGATTTATCAGTATATTAAATACACAGGAAACTCGATAATTTTGTTTATTATGCATGTCACCTGGTAGCCTCAGATTTCCTAATACTGCCCAAATATTTTCAGAAGAAGAAAATATCCCACATACTGACAGTTATGTACATGTTTTCTAAGAAACATTAGCTGCATTAACCGTCTGTAAACAGTTATGGTTAAAATTTACAGTATCAGTAGGTCAGCACAGTTTATTTTTCTGTTGGCAAAAGCCTCCTAGAGATTCTTCCAACGGAAAGGCAGAGGTAGGACAGAAGTATTTCTAGGCAGAAAGTGTTTCACAACAGAGAACTGCTAAATTTCCTGAGGTGAAACACTGTTATTTCTTCTAAATACAAAACAATTATTTGCCTCAACTTGAATAGTGTTTATAGCATGACTTGAGTAAGCCCACTTTATTATCAGGCTACCCCTAACATCCCCTCCCCACATCCAGTTGTATTTCAGCACAAATAAAACAGTACCACAGAAAGTGTGGGGATACCTGATAGGAAAACTAGAATGTGTTGTAAGATCCTGGGCCAATAAAAAGCCTAAGACACACCGAATATTCTTCGTGCCAGCAGTCCCAGCTAGAGCCAACGGGATCACTCATGTGCTGAAAATTAAGCCAGTGCCAAAATACATTGCTGGGCTGGGGCTTCTCATTTACTGTTCTCAAAGCACTCGGCAAACTTCTATTTTCCTTAGACATTGGTCCATATTTGGGCAGTAATTATAAAGCAGAACTCCTCATTAGCTGCATAGAAATTAACGACATGAGATAGCCTCTCACGACTATAATCTTTTAAAGTTTCAAAACTGTTTTATTGGAGAGTAAACATAGCCACAAAAAATTCAAGCACACTGTTGGGAGAACAGCGAGTTGATGTCAGAGACGGGGCTACACGTTCTCCCTGCTGCAAGGCAGCCTTACTCATGCGAATGGAGAGGACAGCATTACTGCAGAGGACAAGTGCTTATTACTCTGGAATTACTACCAGAAAAGCTCACGCGACTCTCTTACCTTGCAGCCAGTCTCGAAAGTAGTGCAACCACATTTTGGGAAGCTGCTTATCCTCTTCCAACAAAACATGTGTCACATTGCTGAAACTTTCATGAAGTTCATAAAGTAAGTGCTGGACATTGGGATAGTCTGCTTTCTGCGTCACTATATACATGTTGTAGAAAGAGAAGTACTTGAACTGCGCGGCAATGAAGTCATATTCCCGGGTTTCCCTTGGTACAATGTCTGTGAGATCCAGTCCATCTCTCACCCGGGTAGTTCCATAAAGGCTGAGTCCAAGTAAACTCAGAAAAAGAAAAATAACCACAATCTGCAGCAGAAAATGGAAATGCCTTTAGTTTTATATTTCTAAAGAAACTAAACAGGACCATGTTCAAAACTATCATACAATGTAATAATTTTAAGTTTTATTTATATGCACAAAAATACACGCTACAAACGCAAACTAATCTGAGCTATAGTAAAAGTAGATCATGAATAAAAAAACTACAGGATAATTCAGCTAAAAACTAGCTTTAGTTTCACAGTTCATGAGACTGAAAGTCACTGAAGTCCCCTCATTTACCTACATTTGAAAAGTATGTCTCTACAGCAAGATAAAACTTTCAAATCACGAAATTAACTGTAAATCTAATAAATAAAGAGTTACTTCAAAAATGTTCTAATTATTCCTTACACTTAATACTATAACATGAGGATAACTGTTCTACTCTACTGGGAAAAGTCTGTTTCTGAAGAAAAAAAAAAAAGAAGTAAATAGTTCTCTGGTTACCTTAGCTTTTGGTTTTATTGGAGCGTAATGCTTTTCTGCAAAAGATGAGAGTGTCCATCTAGTACAGGGTGGCTCAAGGCAATGCATACTGGAGTCCGAGAACTGGGAAAGCAAATCCCTCGTCGAGCTTGTGCTTTCTGGGCTCTGGCAGCTGAGATTATCTTGTGCTACTGTCACCGGCTGCACAGATATTTCTGAGCGAGGCTCTGCTGTGGTGTAGTACACCTGTGTGTGAGGATCGTACTCTGTGCGCAGCTGCACTGTGGACTGCATTGTGATCTGAGTTTCATGTGCAAAACTGTGGCTGCTGTACGGGGGTGGAGGGCTGTAGCAAGAGTTATCGCTGTTTTCTGCATATGCTTGAGGCTCAATCTGAATCACTCTCGTGGCACACGGACTGTAAAAGGACAGAAAAACATCCATTCTTATTTACATAGGTCCTTATTTTAATCATACAGAGAGAATAACCTGCTTCTACCTAAGCCTGCTTCTACTACTGCTGTATGGTTTATGTTAATTAAGCAATGTTTTGATGATGATATTCCTCTGCACTTGTAGGAAATGCTTCTTAGACATGGTTCAAAGTGAAGGTCTCTTGAGAACACACACATTTCTTGTGCCCAAGGAAGAATGAACCAGCATTTGTCTGAAGACACTGGCATCCACCTCACATCGCTGCATTGATTACATACACTAATCAGGTCAATAGCTGGATAACCACACACAGCCCGAATCCACAATAGGTGTATGCATTTGCATCTATGTGACCATGCTCAGGATTAAACTATTTAGAGGATTAAAATGTAAACACATGGCCTGGCGAGTTCTTCTGCTTCAACTATTAAAGTAACTGTTAAATAATATTTGGGCCTTCTGGATAACATCTCATTGTTTTGGGAGGCGGGATGAAATCACTTGCCATACACTGACTCCATATTTTAAAAATGAAATAAACATATGCAAGGATTAATTCCCAGGAAGGACAGGCAACATGGAGATGGAACTGCAGAAGTGTTTCTTCGAAACATTCCCTTTATTGTAGCCTATTGAAAAGTGTAATAAATAGGCAATTCATTTTAAAAAGTTATCAGAAACAAGCCCCTTTCCGTAAATAAGAAACAACAAAGTGACAACAGAAGATAGCATCTGAGATTTTTCATTAAGGTGACAAATGCTACACAAAAGAGGAATTCAGAATCTTGCCTATCTAAACAAAGGAAACTCATTCAACTAAATTTGTTCATGGGCACATGGGCCCAAATGCAGTTCACACAGAGTGACTTAAGATGGGAGAATAAAGGGAAAATCCAACTGCATAGCATTTCTGGGAATCATGGCTCCAAAAATTCAAGCTCAGCAAGACCAGTCAGTGAAACTACGATTCAGTAAGAAATAAAAAAGCAGCAGTCCTGCCTTTTCAACCAATTTGCTGCTCTAACTCCTCAAAAACAAATTTAGGAAAACACTTTCTTCTTTGAAGTTAAAGATATCAAACTGTGTGTGCTCCCAAATAGGTATGGAAAGCTAAGTGGATACAAAGTGCTTTCTCTACATCCTGGTTATGACATTCAAGTGAGAGTGTGTGTAGAAATGCAGCTTGTCCTCTTCACTGTAGGCAAGAGCAAAAACTAAGGTAGACAAAAGACTTGATTTCCAAGCAGTAGCTCCACTAAATGACAGTACGCTCCTCCTAGCACCCAGACCTCAGAACTGACCTAATACAGAGCTGTATTAGGTTACAGTCTGCATACTACAGTTCTCAACTAATCTAACAAAAACTTCAGTACTGTCCGGCAATGGTACTGAATATCCTGAATTCCCCACAGTCCTATACAAAACTGTGCTAAAGAGAGGTCATTTTTGTAGTGTGAATGTAATTTTTATGTATTTAAGTTTCAATGCTTAAAAAGCACAAAAATCAACACATAGTGAGTCATTCATTATGCTTAAGACTCCTGTGTATTTCAAGCTATTTACAGGCTTCCGTAAGAGACGGGATCATGATTCCTGAGCTTACCTAATACCAGCACTGGACACCTTGAAGTACACTCTAAGAAAATTTAAACACTTATCTGGAGTACCGATGTTGTAGGTGCTTCCCAAAAAGTTGTCTTCCAACAGTAAAAATGAATATGCATATGAATGAAGGGAAAAGGCTGTGGAAGAGGGACAGGAGCCAGTGTATTTCAGTCTCTAGCAATAAAACTATGACCCTAAGACACTCACCCTGCTGCTGTCTTGTTGCAATTAAGACTTTCCATGTCTAGCATTGCTGGCGAGCACAAAAATCCTGTACCTCATATACTGCAATTCCATCACACATTCTTACCTTGTAAAACAGCAGAATATATCCAACCTCTTGTCTTCCCGACGATAAAGGTCCATGCTCAGGATAGCAGGAAAAATCAGCAGAACCATAGCAAAGTTGAATACCACTACAACTGCAGCCTAGAAATCAATCACAAGAGAATTGATGTTGTTACTAAGCTCCTTCATTATCCTCATCTAGCAACTCATTTTTTATATTGACTTATGAGACACTTTGAACAGCTTCCTGAAGTGGGGGGTATATTCCAGTTTCATATGGTAGGCCTACTGTAGTTAATTATTTTAACATTAAGCTTCACATTAATTTAATCCCTCTGTACATATAGGTGTGGTAACACCAAGATTTTTAAAAGGAAAAGATAGTGAATAAATAGCATTTTTGTATGAAATCATGCCCTACTGGAAAATCTCACACAGTACCAGAAGATGTAAGCAAAGTCAACCTGGAAATAGGAATTAAGTTCTCATTTAAGAGAGCTGAAGTAGCTTAAGCACTACAGTAACATTAAAGAACATCATTAAATCAATAATGAAATAAATGTTTAATTCAATTTTAATGAAACTACTCCATTTACTAAAATAGCTATACGTTTGCTGTACTAAAAGGCTAGCTAAAAAGAACAACATTTTGGGACTAACTGTTGAACCCTACTGCTTGTGTAAATTGAACTTGACCAACAAGTCAGTCCAGCAAAATGAGTCTTAAATTGAAACAAAGAGTTAAGTTAATTGGTAAAGCAAATATTACTTAAAGAAGAACAATAGCTCTCCCTTTCAAATGATAAACCCCTCCTATGTGTAAATGTCCAGAGAATGGCTATAAACACACACCATGGTGCAGCATCTATCATTAACGTTAACAGCATTTATTTGTAAAGCAGAGTAGCAAGAAACACAAGTCACGACAAATGGAAAATTTGGGGATAGGCAGGATTACAAAGAGCAGTAGAAAAGGAGGATAAAATCAGTAAGGATTTTCTTTCACCAAAAATAAAGCAACTGAAAAGAAATAATGGCTGAGACATTAACAATTTCAAAAAAAAAATCTGAAACCCTTGTATTTTACCTGGCATTATATAATCCATAGGAATCTATCGTAGCCTAGATTCAGGCTGGGGAAAGCATATAAGCTGTATCTTCCACCTATAACACCTGAGGTAAACACAACTGGGACTAAGACAGTCAGAAAAGGACTAAAATTGGATTACGTAAATCAAGTGTCTGATATAAACTGATTCTCTTTTCTTTTTCTCTAAGTATAGATTAGTGGACACTTTGAGGCAGAACAGCAGACCTCAAAATTCTCAACTCAAAAAGCAAGGCTTCCAAAATTAATGTTTTAAAAATACTTTATTTATATGACTCTAAAGAATTCAATTTTGATATTTTGTCTCTTATCTGAGAAAATGAAAAGTATTAACCTATTGAATAATTTTAAGGATTTGGAAATGATTAATGATAATGAGAAGTGGTTCTCTTTTGTTGTCTCCAGCCTCTTTAAAGAGGGATTTTGTCCTGATGATTAGTTGCATACATAACCATTAAAACAGAGTTTATCTAGTGTTTAAAGTCTAATTAGCATTTAACCATCACTTTAATCTTTGAGAGAAAAGATCCAATGACCATTTCATGATTTATAAATATCCACACTGAAAGGTATGTAAGGTCAGAGCCAAGACTTTAAAATTAAGTGATTTCCTTTTGATCACCTCTAGAATGGATTGAATCTGTCAGGAAAACAAATGGCTGCTGTTACAAGCAAGGTGTTTGCAGGACCTAGGACAACTGCTCTATTTATTGCTGCCGAATCAGTGAAAGTTGAATCACCCATAAAACATGAGTAATTAGTGCGTCTAACCAAAAGCTCCTACCAAGGATCAGCTAAGGACTGATGAGATTTGGAAAAAAAATAGGCTGAGGCCTGTTCCAAGAATTCATATTCTTCCCTTCATACCTGAAAAACTAACCAAAGTCCTCTACTTCTGCTCACTTTATTTATAAATACCTTCAGCCTTATCAGTTCTCAAATCCCAAACGCTGCTAAACCTATGAACTAATCCTTAAGCACATGGCAGAGAAGGCAATAAAGTTGCATTCACATTTATTTTTGAAGAAGAATTTATGAGGAAGAATGCTGGGAACTATCTGAGCAACACCTAGTAAAATCACTTATTAACATAGAATCTCTTTTTAAAACAACTAGATCATCCATTGCGCTATACTTGTGCTGATGTACTGACTGTACAAATCAAACGCTTGTAAAAAATCCTCACTATCCAGACTTGAATTTTAACGAATTCCTACAGCTTAATATCACACTTCCTACGTATTACACACTTTTCCCTCTCTCACACACCACCTTACCCCAAGACTTCAATGACATGTCATTCCTCAGCTGTCGCAGTTAAATAAAATAACATCTGGTTCTGATAACCATGCCAGTTTGTTGTCTCATCAAAAAAAAAAAAAAAAAAACAAACAAACAAACAAAAAAAAAACTTAAAGAATGTTAAGGTGCAGCATGTCTTCCTGAGATCTCAGTTCCTGCTTTACATCCAACTCTGGATCCAGCCCTGGAACAGGCTGCCCAGAGAGGCTGTGGAGTCTCCTTCTCTGGAGATCTTCCAAACCCGCCTGGATGCCACCCTGTGCCACGTGCTCTGGGTGTCCCTGCTCGAACAGGCGGGTTGGACTAGGTGATCTCTAGAGGTCCCTTCCAACCTCAACCATTCTGTGATTCTGTGAACTCCAGAGGCACCTGAAAGTGACTGAGACAGGAGATGTAGGTTGAGATTGAGATTAGCAAGGAAAGAAGGAAAAGCTGCTAAGGAGCAGCTGAGTCTCTGCACTGACTCATCAGCCAACACTACCCCTCCCACTACTATATGGAAGTTTGGTGGCTGCAAATGGGAATTTACAAAAAAATGACATCTTTATTTTGGTAATATCCACAATCTGTATTAAGTGCACTGACTGGAAAAGCACAAACAGAGGTCTGTGATAGCAGAGCTCCGAGCGCACAGGCAATCTGTGAGCAGCAGCTAAGTAGAAGGAAAGCAAGCTGAGGATTTTTGAGAACAGGCAGGGCATCCGCTTTCACCCTTTCAGAAGTGAATGGCCAAACAGGAGAGGAAAGGGCCTCCAGCTTTCCCCTTGAAAAATCAACAGATGTAAGATTAGTCCTAAAAGGGGAAAAAACATGGGGCCCACTCAAGGGTGTGAAATGAAGGAGTTCACTGAAACGAGCACATCAGAGCAAAGCCAGAAAATGCCACAAACCAGACAAAATTCTGGTCGCTTTCTAAGAAGCATCTTTTATTAAAGCATGGCCTAAAAACATTATCGCCGCGCGGGAGGGAAGACGGGTGGCATGCGCCGGCGGCGGCGCGGGCAGGCGGGGGCCCTGCCAAACGTACGAGCTGCTCTCTGCCATTCCTGGCCGCCCACCCACGGAGAGGGCTGTGCTCTGCAGCCAGAGGTGACCGAGGAGGTCTGCTCTGCAAGGAAAACTTCCACCCCGCTGCTGCTGCCTATCTGCAGCTCCCTCCTGACAGGGCATGCACTCAGGTTTCCACCCCCTCCTTCCTCTGAGGCTTTAATTTTGCTTGTTAAATTCTCATGTCAGGAGCACAGAAAGTGAAAAGACTTTGCTAAGAGGAGGGAGACAAACTGCTTCAGTGCTGTAAGATAATGAACCCGCTTAAAAACTCACATTCTTTCTCTCCACAAGCCCACCACTACCACCTGGCAATGCACTTTTAGGTTTAGGAAAAAATGTGTCATCCACACTGTGAGGAAAAAATAATAGCACTAAGACTTATTGGGCAAAGTTCCACCGTTATTCATTAGTGAATCTATACCACTCTTTTCTCGTCCTGGTGTAAGCAAGAAGAGTTAGGTGATTTTTTTATGAAGCTGTGCCTTTTCTTTCCAGGGAAAAATACATTCCACAGGGGGTCTGAATATTCTGTCTGCGGTACTTACACTCTGCCGTGCTTCCTGCATTTATCTTCAAAACAAAGTGCTGTATACACAGCAAACAACAAAAACGTTCAAGAAGTTTCTTCAATACTCACCTCCTCAGATTTTAAGCAATGCAACCGAAAACTCAGCACCTACTCTTTCAAAATCCTGAGCACTCCCTTGCAGGTGATTCTTTTGACTGAGTACTTAGGATGCATTCAGCATCTCAAGGTGTAAACCTTCTCAAATAAGGGGCTGGTAAGGAAAAAATAGTTGAGAGCTAAAAAGCTAAAACAGTCCCTATCCCCACAGAGGAATTAATTTTAAGCATCTCACTTGAAAAATCACTGACTTCCTTTAAGCTAGCAAGAACTAAAACATTTTGTTGTGCTAATTCTATCAAACTCCCTCACTGTTTGAATTTCATGAAGTAAATGAACAACCTGAGTATCAATAAACTGCATTACCTGAATGAAAAGAAGCTGAGGGAAAAAAAAAAAAACAGTGATGTGCAAAACACGAATTTCTGTCTAAAAGTTGGACTTCCAGATAATGGGCTGGTCAGGAAACCATTTATTCTGCCTCAACAGCTGGATTATTTTAAAGATACTGGGCCTCGAAAGTTATGGAAACCTTGACAGTTATCTTGCAATGTCTTAAGAAAAGTAAATGAAGAGCAAAATAAGGTCAAGAGCAATCCTTTTTTGAGCCCATGTGTTAAAAATTCTTTATCTATATGAAAAGAAGTCAGCATTCGTGAAAAGTAAACTGCAGTATTTCATCACTTTCTAAATTTTGCTAGGAAGCTCAAAGACAGCAAGGAGTTCTTGTTTAAACAAGCCCGAGTAAGGAGGAGAAGGAAGAAAAAGACTGTAAATAAAGAAATCCATAGAGAAATACAGACCACCCACCAAAATCGGCCACGGTTAGCTGACTCTGAATGATATGATTAAATGTATCACCTGATTTTGATTACACCTGGTGAAGCTAGACAAAGCAAGTAACAGGTGATCCTTTCTAACAGTAAGGGTTGTATTTTCACAGTTCCTAACTGATATACACACACAGCTCCAGCAACAATAAATCCTCAGTACAGGTCTCTAGTTGCCCTTTTGCACATTCTTTTAGTTCTTATACACCGTGATTTACCATATGCAAGCAAAAACACATTATAGATGCATGAGAGAAAAGACTGCATAATTCAAACATTAACTTCTCGACACTGCAACATTTCTACACAGATTTCATATCAGCTGTTGCCTTGAAAAGGAATTCAATGTTACTCTGAATAGTATCAGCATGTTTATGCAAGGCTATGCTGAAATCTCAGTAGAAACAGCTCCCATTCAACAGCTGGGCAAAGTGACCAGGACAAAATGACCCCTCTCTATTGCATCTTTCTTATGAGAATGCATCTTAGCAAATTTCCTATGCATCTAAGCTAAAGGAGCATCAACAAAGCAGTGTCACTCCAAAGCCAGGAAGCAGAAATCCAAGACTTTTGATTCCTAGTGGAAAACTCCAGTATCCTTTTTGCTCTTTAAGGATTAAGTGGGATGTCTGAATTTAGGCCACAGAATTAGATTTTTCTAAAAGAAGTATCAGACTAGATTAATTAGGTTAGACTTAAAAAATGGTCTTTGCCCTGATATAAAACAATTCACTGTCATTTACCTTACAAGAACAGAAACCTACATTTTGGCAAGGCAGCAGAATTAAATACTGCTAAGCACTTAGGATAAAAACTCTGGTTTTACATACTATAGATAACTGTGCACCAAATCAATGATACCTTTATTTCCCTTCACTTTCTCAATTACTTGCTACCAAATTACCTTTTGAGAAGAAAATCATAAACAAGTTATTAATGTTTATTGGTCATTTAGCTGCAACTGTGAATGTTTTACCATTTTACAGCTTAATGCAGGCATGCTTAAATCTCTGAAAACAGCAATAATTGCCACAGGTATTAAGAAAAATTGCAGCCCTTGCTTCCTCTGGTTAGGTCAAGGGCTCAAGGGGAATGAAAAATGACTGGAGAGTCAGGCTATAATAGAAAAAAAAATGACTACTGAAAAAGTGCAGTTTTCCTGCTCTGCACCAAGGTCAGACACTGCTATAAATTGCTTGTGAGTTAAAGCTGTGTCAGAGGAGAACATCCCAGAGCTTTCTTCCAAGGGTTTTTCCTTTTAACAGCAGTTTTCTTCAGCATCCTTTAATATTTCATCTTCCTGAGGTATATTATCACAGACAAATAGGAGAAGACAATAAGACAGAGAAAGAGAGAGGGAATAATCCATCGTTCATCCCATAAAACTCACATTTTCTCTCAAAGCACTTACAGCATAAAATTCTTGGTGAGTTTTCTCCAATAGTTTGACAAACTTACTTTCAGATAAGGCAGTACAAACTGCTGCAGTAATAATTAACGCAACAAGTCTGTTCTCACTGCTGTCACTGCACTTTGCTTGTGGTTTGTAAGAGCAGCAAGTTGCACAAACTTCAGTGAAAGCAATGAACTTCCACTCAGGAGATGCAATGGTATTATAGGCTAGAATACAGTCCATTGCTCTTGACTGAAGTAAGAATTCAAAGCTTGCTGGAGACTTGTTTCTACTTAGTTGTACACTTCCTGGCTTTTATACCCAACCCAACGGGATGACGCAGGATATTCGCCGGATGTGAGAGCTTCAATGTGTGGGAAAAAGGAGGAACACGATCAAAGGGAAAAACAGTTGTTATCATCTAGAACTACAGCAACCAGTGATCACACATGGGTTCAGCGAATGCAAAGGACTCAGCACGGACTTTAACACTACCACTAACAGTTAACACTAGCCTCCCATGATGAGATCGTCTGTAAGAGCTAACAAAACCGCATATAAACTTACTTGGAGTGAAAATGCTCGTAAAGCAGGAATAGGGATTAAGGCAGCCATAAAGAAAGCAGTAACATTGCTGATAGATGTAAGGGCTACACTTGCTCCTGTTCGCTTCAAACATTCACCTGTTCTGTCCTGCAAAAAAAAACGGTGCATCTTAAAGGTCAAGTGAATAAGGTGACATCTTGTAAAGGAAAGGGTCATCCTACAGATACCGTAACAGTGAAAACTATTACAAGGGGTGTGTATTGCATTCATTATCTCATTAAACAAACAAAAATCAAGCAACAAACATTCCCTCCCAAAACGCACACCCCAACTCCCCATTTTTTTCATTACCTCAAATGGAATTCTCTTATTCTGCCCGGTTTCACTAAATGCATGTGCAAGAAGGAAAACATCATCTACACCAACTCCAAGAGCAAGAAAAGGCAAAACCTTGGGAAGAAAACAAACAAACAAACAAACAAAAAACCAAGAAATTTAATATTTCCATGTTTTACCATGCAGGTAGATTAGATGTCTAATTAGAATAACTCTTACACTACATTTGAACTTCAAGAGTAAAATAAAAATCAGAAGGATGCAATAGAGCTCTTACTTTGAAACACAGGTCAAGAATCTGTACTGGACTATGTATGGACACAAAACCTCACTAAAAACAACTCTAGGCTTCAACAGGCAAAGAATATTAGAGCATATTTCAAATTACTTTCAAAATACTTGCAGAATTGAAACATCTTGACATATTCAGATGTAAGGACAAAAGCTGCAGCAGCTTATGCACAAACAGATGCCTACACTCACAATGGGACACAGAGAAACAAGTATCTCAAAATCTACCTAATGAAACAAACTGCATGACATTTGCCCTTTCTTTTTAACATCAGAGAGCAGCAGTATCTCTTGGTTTCTTACAGCACAATCTTCCAGACAGAAGGCATGAGTGAAAAATCGAAAAATCAATACGCTTTGCAGCTTTTGTTTTTCCTTAAAAATTGTGTTCATTCACTAAAGTGCTTTTAATTTAGCAGCAGACTTGTGTCTCCTTGATACCTGAGTTGTGGCAGCATTAAAGGAAATTCCAATCAATGAGCACAGGCCCAATCCTGCAGCTACTGAGAGTGCAACCAACAAGACTCCTGCCAGCCCCACGGCACCCTGAGACTTGGCACAGTCCCACCGCAGCATTGTTAAACAGGCGTAGGCAAGCTGAAAGCAGAGAAGGGGAAAAAAACAAAACAGAGACATAAGCAAAATATTAGAATGGATCGTTTTCCAAGAGCTCTATCCCCTCAAGAACACACACACCTTACAAGCATTTCTAAACAGAATAGACACACTAGAGATTACACAAAAGAGTAGGTGACAACAGAAGCCAGTGTTTAAAAAATGCTGATTTTAAGCATTCTGAAAATGTTCTGGATCACTGGCTGGTAACAATAAAGAAGTCGTTTAAGCTTGCTATACTACCAGAGACAAATAAACAAAATATATTTTATTACCATTAGCAAGTAGCCACTAGCTACTCTGATAACACTGACATCAGAAAATGACTTTAGGATGTCATCCAGGGTAGTTGTAGTAAAGGAAAGCACCTTCTGGGTAGAGTTTTGTGCAACACTTTGATGAACAACCTATGGAAAAAAAAAAAAGGTAACCAAAATACAAATGAAAACAAACAAAAAGCACACATATTGTCTTTCACATTTGAAATTAACTACTTATACCTTAAGTGTTCTTGTAAAGACACACATCCTACACAAGAGATTTCATCAATTCTGCATGAGTAAGTATTTTTGGTAGTTATTCTCTACAAGCTACTGATTATCCATGTAGAATTTGCATCCTTCAGTAAAGGCCATAGTGCTTACAGCTCATTGAAAACTTTTAATTTAAGTCCTGAAACGTAAGGAGATTTCCTCCTCCCACAACTGTCACTGACTGAGCTGAGAGAGCTCTGCTTTCCTCCAAGGCTGGAGCGCCCCTCGGGCTGCTCCCCCTTCCCGGCGCTTCCATGGGGTCGGAGGCATCGTGGCAGAGGTCAGGGCTTGGGACACAGCGAGCAGGGAC